ACACACACACACACACTCACTCACTCACTCACTCACTCACTCACTCACTCACTCACTGTCGAGTATGAATTACGGTAAAAACGTTTACAAGATAATACGATCATTTTTAAACAAAGTAAGATTTAGTTGCAGGGACCGCCAGACACAAACACGAACGGTTCGTCTTCTCTCCTTTTTTTCTTTCTTTTATTAATTCTTTTTTTTAACAATGGTAAAGAAGAAAAATAAGCTGAGGCTTCTTATAGAGTTTTTTTTATGTATCAGTATTCTACGCGTTTGACTTTAGCTGATAAGGAGTTTTAACCAACACTACTTAAATGAATCCCCCGATGGCGAGATTTTGTCTTACTTAATTATTAAATTATTTAGTTATTCGCCCTCCCCCTTGGCCCCTCAATTTCCCAATTTTCCCTTTTTAAATCTCCCTCGGTCCCTTCCCCTCCCGAACCCGCGTCCTTGTTTTTGTACGTCTATTTTTACATAAGCGACCCTCCCCTGAATTTATTTAAACTATAATTTATTATTATATTCACTGTTTTTTGCACCGACGTTTGCGTAAGACATTTGGCAACGACTGGCTTAATTTATTGTTTCTACCGTATTTTTCGTTTATAACGCGAGTTTCACTCTTCTCTCTCTCTCTCTCTCTCTCTCTCTCTCTCTCTCTGTCTCTCTCTATCTATCTATCTATCTATGTGTTTTTTCCTCCTGTCTATATATCTCTCTCTCCCTATTTCTCCCTTTTTTCTCATTTCTCCAGTATTTTCTTTTTATTTACTTTTTCGTTCGTAAACGAGTTCATTAGTTCGTCAGACATCAGACACTGCGCGCGTATGGTCATTCCCTCCTTTCTCTTTCGGGACACACTCGGTATACATACACGTGTATCTAATTAACCGCGGCACTTGATTAGTGTCCATGGTCGGTCGATGCTTTAGGTGCCTTCGCCTGGAGATTTCGTTGAATAATGTTCAAGTAATGATATTTTAAATAAGAGTATGTGTTCGGTATGAACGCGTGAACCCTCACCAACGGATCGGTCACCGATCGGCAGGACTCCCACTTCGATCTTTCGAGTCAGCCCCAAATTCTCTGCTGAAAAAAACAGCTATTTTACCAAATTGCCATCAATTCAATTTTCTGTTCATTCACCATGAAAATTCCACATCTGAAAAAATTTAAAAATTCGAGCATAAGTACGGCAACAAAATATGGCGAAACAATTGGAACGATCAAAGACAGTTCGAATCGCCGCGTTTATGATCGCCAATAATTTAACGTGGCCACGGGGCGTCATCGCGACAGATAGAGAGACTGTTTCGAACAGGGCGCCCGTAATGAACAAATGTATACGAAAGCCTCGAGACGAGAGCGTAGAGAACGCAAACGATGCATAATTGTACACGACAAAGCGAAAATAAAGATGAAGGGATTTTCGCGAGACGACAAAAAGGGAGACGAGACACCCTGCTCGTTGATAGAGCGACTCGGCGCCGCGTTGAGATCACCCATGCGTCTCGTTGACATCGTTTCATTCAGAGCGGCATTGATCTATTCATCGATGCATGCATATTCAATATTCATTGACGTACGCGTCGCGCGTCATCGATGATACGTTTATTTATTTCTCGAGAGTCGAGCGACCTGCTACGCGCCCGATCCCGGGAATCAATCTGCATACTGTGAACGGAACTTGTATCTGTTCGCCGCAGGTGTCTTTCGAACCGTAAATACTGATCAGCACGATCAATATCGGTCTATTGAGAAGTGCAAAGTGATTTCATTGAATTTTAACCGTTGCATGTACCGATAATTGCATCTTTCGAGACACAGTTATAAATAGTTAGGTAATGTGTTATTAAATTCGCCGTCGTTTTAAGCCACGAATATGGCAGCCTTATTACAAATAAAATGATTTTTATTTATTCAAAAATGCGTAAAAGAAAGATTTAGTACCTATGAAATTCAGGAATAACGACTAAAGTAAGGCGTTGATCGATTAATAGCGGTGTTCGAGTACTTTTTCGGTATGGCAGAATGATAATCGAGGACGTCGCCGACAATATGGCGTCCTCTGTGGTGATTTCAACGGCGGCCCAGCTCTGTTCCGTCCGCCTGCTCGACCGTGGACATTCTGATATCGCGTCAGACTCCTCCGGTGGACCTCCTAAGTCACACTGTACGTAACTTAATAATAAATAAGTAAACAGACGAGAAAAAGGCAAAAGGAGGATAGCAAGAGAATACAGAGATTCGAAACGATTTCAACGATTGTAAATCGTGGAGACCGCACGACCGGATGCGCCAAGACCCCTTCCCTCCCCCGGTTCTACGCCGAGTATTAAATCTGTACTAATCGACTGAGTATTATTTTTATATCGAGTGTAATATTAAATAATGGTTAAATGAAACGCGAGGCGGCAACGGTTATTAATATCGTCGGACGAAACTCGTGAAAATTCTTAAGCGAAGCGGCGTTGACGCGTTCCTTTCGGTACTCTTTCTCTTCGATTATTGTCTGGTACCGAAGGAAGTAGAAAGAACGGAAAGGAAGGCGGCATACGACTGATGATGAAGAATCGTGAGTGCCCTGATTACAATATTTTGTATACAACAATGAAAGAAACCGAGCGATGCGAGCGAGAAAGAAAAGAACAAGAAAAAAAATACAAAAAAAGAGAAACGAAGAAGTAAGATGATATTAAGGAGAATAGGCTGTAGTAGGAAAGCGACAAAGAGAGAGATAATAGCGAGACGATCGTTGCGAGGAAGCTCGTACGAAAGCTAACTTCTTTGAACACCTCTCGGCGCGTGTTCGCGGGTGAAGAGAAGCGCGTCGTTTTAGCAATAGCGGAGAAAAAAATAAAAAGAAACTACTTTTGTATCCACGATCTACGATATGTAAGTTAGTTCGGGCTAAGGCCAGCAGCTGTTGAGATTATTCAAGGTTGTGTGTATCATTATAAGTATTTTGAATTGTTGAATAGTAAATAGTGTAAGCGGCGGCTTGAACGAAGCAACGTGAGCGCATTTTGAAGCGAGATGCCGCTTCGTCCAAGCTCGGTTCTCAAGTATTCAGAAGGATACTTGGCGGACAAGATCTAACGAGCTTGTAGAATTCATTGATGAGATTGTTTTGACAGATTAAAACCGCACTGATTTTTTTACTATTCGCGGCAGCTATCTATTCAAATTGTTATGCAGCAATTTTATTTGTCTTATTCTTGGACCTGTTTCTTCGAGGTCGACGTTGATCCTCTTATCGACTCTTGTACAGATAATTGATCGACCTTTTATCGGTAAATTTTACAAGCTTATCACATCTTGTCCACCAACTTGTATCAAAGCTCTTTCTCCGTCATGACGATGATGTTTGCCCCGTACGATCGACCTGCTGAGTTCACTTCACCTGTATCTTGTACATACTGTCCTGTGATTTGTGAAACCGAGAAGATAACAAGTGATAACGCTTACTAATTCTTTCTTTGAACAAGATTATCGGACTGCAGATTTTTATACATTAATTTTTGGGGGATCTAGTTACCTATTCCATTGGCGTTGTTTTACTGAGATACTTGTTTGATTGCATTTTACAAGATTTTATCTATTGCATGTGCATGGAATCTGCAGTCTGGAATTATCTTATTGGTTCGAATAAAGTCTGTGAACAAAGAATCAAGTGTCTCGTGTCACGAATAACAGGGCACACTGTACATGCATATATATATATTAAAATATATATTCTATATATATTTATATTATATATATTATATATATATTTTAATATCGTACTGTAACGAGTCGTGAGTCCCGAGCGCGATATCGTCGGGACAGAATAATTTATAAATACCGAAGCACAGTATGCGAAACCTCCCATGACAGTGGTACCTAACTTCGATTAACTTACGGGTCTAACTTGAATCCATGAAATTTTACTGGAATCTCTATCGTATCTTTCTCCTTCTCCTCCTCTCTCTCTTTCTCTCTCTCTTCCGTCTTTTTTTATCCTCCTACATCCTGAGTTCATGAATCTCTATCTTCCTTACTATAGACTATTTCGAAATCTCTTTTTTATATTGTATTGATAAGCGAAAACCCTGTTAGACATTTTAAGCTATTTATTGGGCTGCTATGTGATTTGTTGGAAATTAATTCGAGGCTGAGATGGACAGATGTATTAACTAGAGAATATAAGGAACTTATTATTAGACTGCGGATTTTATGCATTTATGGCATACACGATTGTCTTTGAATTCAGTATGGTATGAAGTTTAATAAAGTTTAATTGAGGTTTCTATTTTATTTAGAACCTGCGAACGAATGTCTACGCTGTTTAAGTTAATCAGACACGTACGAGAACTGCTTTAAAAGAAACTCATGATTCACGCGAACGTGAATACCGTTGAATTAGGTCTACCAAGAAATAATTCACTATCTTCTTCAGAGAGCCAGTAGAACGCAATGCTTAGGAATAAAGCTACTCTTGAATTTGTTCTCCCTATTATAAATTAAATATTAAACAAATGCTCGCTCTTTCTATCGTCTCAATATTCTCCTTGACACATTTCGAACGAATTCGACACGATGAAAATCCATAATTGCATGAGGCTCCGCATTCTATTAGCCATCAATAGGTCATCGAATAATCATGAGCGCGATACTACAGACGATTATTTGATCGATCGGGACGCAGGATAAACCCACGCCACTCTTTTTCTCGGTCACGGATCAATTAAAATAATAAAGTGTTCTGTCCATTTCCGTTTCGAGGAATCTCTTTCTTGATGTGAAGACAAGTGCTCGAGAACGAACAAAAATCAAGAAATAGCAATTGTGAGAAAAAAAAGAGAGAGAGATTTGCGATCACTCGGCGCCTCTTTACTTTTCTGCGCTTACCGCCTAAGTCAATGAATGTTCGAGCGGACGCTGTGTTTGTCGTTGGCGTCGTTTGCCTTTGTTTCTTTATCGTCTGCGAAAAATTTCCGGGGCGATAGTTGTTCTTCGATTTTTTTTTTCCAATTTTTCCTCTTGAGAAGAAAGAAAAAGAGAGAGATAACGATCAACAGATTCATTCCGGATCGAAGCGAGACGATGATGTATGAAAAATCTATGTCGACGCGACAGACACAGGCGATCGACGGGCAAAGGACCAAAATGTACAACAATCGCGTTCGCCCTTTTTTTCCGATCCGATTTTCTTTTTGTACAACGTGTTAAACAGAGAAGAAAGAAACTATCGAAGCTGTGAACACGTGTTAGGCTACGGGCCCGACGATCTTTTTGAGCGATGTTGACAGATTATGTGTTTTTTTTTCTTGGGGGGCATCTTATTGCAAAAGGGCATTGTTGTGATACCACAGATGCAGCTTCATTGAAAACTTAAATAAAAACAAAAGTAATGCGTTAACGAGTCGTGTTGCGATCTGTGTTTCACTACCATTTAACGCGGCGAGCATTGTATAATATTTAATTTTTTATATAAAAACTTATTCGGAAATGGAAAGCTACTGATTGCGAAGACACAACACCTCTCAAGAATTTTTCTCTTAATAATAGAACCTGTTATTTCCACACATTAGCTTAATTCTGGCGAATAGTACTTTAATGCATTTAATAATATTGTTTACTGCTTGATTGGACAGTATTGCAATTTTAAAATGATCATTGTAGCGGTTCTAGCAGTAGAGTGATTTGTTGAGAGGAATTGCACACACCACGGCACATTGCTTTCTTCCATCGAGTTATTTTATTTTTTAAAATCATTCTCTCAAGTTTGAACAAATATTTGTACTATTTTCTATTGCTACGCGGAAGGAACGTAAATACTTTTCATACAATTCCTAAATCCAAATTAAAATTGACCAGAAGCGTACTACGTAAGTCGTTTCACATCTCGTACGAAACAAGCATAACGCCGGCGAATTACAAGTCCTACTTTTCCATAAAGTATACCAATAAATAATGATCGAATCACGATATTAATATTTTAAAATGTATTGCGATAATTCTAACAGTTTTCATGCTGTTTATTTCAAATTTTCTTACAACAGAAAAATGAACGCCAACATCCGTCAACTTTTTCCAGGCGAAATAAATGAAAGAAATTAATCAATAAATTCTTCAGTCGAATAATCGCTATTGTTCAAGTGAGCAGAAAGGAATAACTCGTTTCGGAAATAGAGAAAACGGTTGGGTACGGACGGACATTTGAGTCACGCAGTGGGGAGTTTTATTTACGTCATTTCCTACTGTACTACGCGTATACTTCGTTCTTCCGTTATTCGCCATTTTGTCTCTGACGTCTGTGGACGTGTGCCACTTAATCAGAAACTGATTTTTCCGGCTGAAGTGTTGATTTCGTTCCTGGAAATAAGTTCGAGAATCTTGCTAAAATGAGTTACGGTAGGCCGCCGCCTCGAATCGACGGGATGGTGTCTCTGAAAGTCGACAATCTCACCTACAGAACGACGCCGGAGGATCTGAGACGTGTGTTCGAACGATGTGGCGAAGTCGGCGACATTTACATACCAAGGGACCGTTTCACCCGGGAGAGCCGTGGATTTGCTTTCGTCAGGTAAAACTCATCTTTCCTCATTTCCCAAAAATAATCTACAACTAATCAGGAAACTATTAGCACATTCGGCTTATCGAAGATAGCTTCTACCGAAATGTTCCGCTATATCGTATTAATGTGCTACTTCCTTTGCTGGAAGTTATATATTTCTAAAAATATATATAATTGTTTACCTCGCTTTGTAAGCATAATAAGATTTTGATGCTTTTCTATTACCATATAGAAGTACTTCTACATATAAGCAATAGATTACTATAAGATTGTAAGCTTGGATGCCGCTAGGCGTTTTACGTCTATCGGTTACCTATATAGTTTACATCGGCAGAGGCACGCTCCTTATTTTTGTGATTTTCCAGATTCTATGATAAACGAGATGCAGAAGATGCGTTGGATGCGATGGATGGAAGATTGTTGGATGGCAGGGAACTTAGGGTTCAAATGGCACGATATGGACGGCCAACTTCCCCACATCGTAGCCGTGGCAGCCGCCGAAGAGGAAGGTAATTATCATTAGTATTGCTGATAAGATTTAAACTCATTAGTCACAACTGATAATAAAAAAGTAAATTTTAGAGATCATTGGTAAATGTGGATATGATTTTCTAGTTTTCATAACTAAATGTGTTTGACCTCTTTTAACTGTATCAATAGTTACAAAATTTGTTTACTGTTTGTAGATCACGCAGCAGAAGCAGAGATCGTAGGCGTTCGCGTTCTAGATCACGTAGTAGGTCAAGAAGCCGCGATAGGGATCGAAGGCGATCCTACAGCCGTAGTCGTAGTCGCTCACGTTCTGATAGTAAGAGCTCACGTGGCAAGTCTCGTTCCAGGAGCAAGTCTCCAGATAGACAAAAGGACAGTCGTTCTAAATCAAGGTAAATAAATAATGTTTAAACATATTATCGGAGTAAATATATTCAATGAACATTTATTGTAATAATACTTTTTATTTTGTTGAATCCAGGGACTGAAGTAATGAACCATAAGCGAGTACGACTGTGAACAGATGCACGTGCCGCGAGTGCGGAATAATCATTTCTTGAGAATGAAAAGGTATTCTATTACCCTCTAATACCTAGAGCAACACTGTCGCACGTTCACATTTCTTCTATCACTTACATATTAATTATGACGACGCACTTGTTTGGGTTTTTCAAACCCAAAACTAATTTTAATGTACTGTATCTAGACTGTGAGTTCAAAGGGGCTCATGAAGATTCTCGTTTGCAAGTTCTTTTTTTCTCTCGTATTACTCTATACTTCGTTAAGTGACACTTGTCACATGCTTATTTCGCTCAGACAAAAGTAAATGTATTCCTATTTTTTCTATGTATGATTAAGCTGTCGTGAACTGGTGTTCCGATCAATCAATTCAAGTTTTCATTAAGTTCTTGATAAGAATTTTAGATAATATGCACTAGCATTATACATTTGATGTTCGCAATCGATCGTTGAAGTTAGAACAGGCATAATATAATTGAGTTTCTACATTCTATGGATAAAATAAAAGCAGAAAAAAGATTGTTGTTAGTTCGACCGGACAATGTTTCTTGTTTTATAATTGCAATATAGTGACGTGCACAACTTCTAGTACTTTGTCGGTGTAAGTGAGTTATAAGATAACACAAGTCTATTCTTTTTCTTCCATTTTTCTTGATTACTATTATAACTATTTTAAGCCACACCGGCGTATATAAATAATTAAGTACAGGAGAGCATCTATTTCGATCAGATATGTCCAATTGCGAAAAATCGTTTTCCATCAATATGAAATTGTTCGAACCAAGCAAGGTGGATTTAGATATCCCTGGAATTACATCGGGGTATTGATGTGTAATGGTAATTAGCAGGTAATGTAGTACGTATGTGGTCGATTGAAGTCCAGTTTCTGTACAAATTTTAAACTGAACCCTTAAATCAATGATTGCCTGGTTTTTCTATTATCGTTTATCGTTGAGAAACTTTAACGACCTTACTAGTTAACAGAAAGAAAGAAATACTAAAAGTTCTCTGGTACACACACGACTTTTTAGAGATAAGTTATGCGTTTCTGTAATAGTATACAGATTTATTTATGTAAGTTTGCCATTGATAATAAAGTGTAATAAAATGCGGAAGACAGAAACTGTTCGCATAGTGTTAGACAGTGACTAAAAGCTAAGTATAATTGTAGGCAACATAGGAAACACGATCAATCACTGTGTGTTACTTTTAACTTTGCTGAAACTAGGTATCCATGTCAGTCCATGTTACTTGAGTCTTGAGAATGAGTTTCAGTAATCATCAGTTGGTACCACGCTATCTCGTAATATGTATAAATACAAAACAATTCTCTTCCTTAATCAAACAAATTTCGAGATAGTTTCCCTAGAAGAGAAATACAATATCAAATTCACAATTAACGCTGTGAATTAAAGAAAAAGTAACACTAACTCATCATCGAGTTAAAGTGGTCTTGGGATTGTGTATAGATTATTGGTAATATTTTTCATTCACGTACAACAGATTGTCAATGTCCTTCCGAAAAGAAAAAAAATATTAAAAAAATATCCTCACACACGGATGTAACACGTTTATTCGTTGTAACTAAGTTGTAATTTTATGGTGCCACAGGCGGTGGAAAGGAGTGGCGTGGCGAGTGTAGCCGATGATGGGGTAGCTGAGAGTAAGCAGTAAGCCGAGAGTAGCAGGGCTGTAAGCAGTTTGCAGTAGCGAGCGGTTGGTGGTCTGGTGAAAGCAGGTTCGCGAATCGAGATCAGGGCGAGAAAAAGAGAGAAAGTGTGTGAGCGAAAGCTGTCTCTCTGGGGGGTCGGCGTGCAGAAAATCGCAGAAGGGTACACGGTTCGAGAGAGCGCTGAGAAAATAAAGCGGAGAGGGTACACGACCAAAGCCACCGCGGTTGCTGGTTTCTCGGCCGTCGTCCGGTTTGCAGGTAGCACGTGAGCATCACCAGACCTCGCGAGCAACGACTCACAATTTCAACTGTGTTACGTTTGCCAGTTACTCCGCGTGTTTCTTGACGATCACTTCCAGCTGTGGTGTTGATTAGAGAACGTATCTCGTCCCAGCAGTGTAGGTTCAATTTTGTAAGTTCTGTGGTCCATCCTTGGTACCTCTCAAGGGGATGTTTTTGATAAGAGAAATCATTAAACCATAAAACTCTGGTTGAGTTATTAGTTCACAATTAAAATTGCACTTCGAATTGAGAATGCCCCCCTTGAGAGTACTAATTCGAAGTACGAGTCCTTGTTTTGCAAATTCGCCCCCCTTGCAATATTAATGTTTTATTTGCAATTTTCCTTCGTTGTTTTATTTTGGTATTTTTTGATATATAATTATCGGGTCTGCTTAAGATTTCTCGGGGAAATTGTAGAGTCTGTTAAAATCTAAATTTTGTGATCATCGCTTAAAACACTTGCCGCCACATTCGAGATAATTGGGAGAGTTCAAGGGTTGGGGAATGGAATCCTTTCGCTTTTCCTGTGCTTTTCTTTTCAGGTGCCAACGTACGTCACTGGAGTAAGTATGTTTAGTGGTAAACTGATGGAATATACAGATGATTTAAAATTTCTTTTCGTAGAGGAGAGAGGAGTTGAAGCATTGTAGTAGACTCGTGGAGGGTAAAATCAATAAAGATTACGACATTAAACAAATGGAATTTTTTATTACTTCTGACTTGTTCATCTTTACAAATGGAAGAATAGAAACCCTTTTAATATATTCGTGAACACTCTCTTTTTCATTTTTTCTCCTTTTTTTTTCTCATAAATAACATCTATGGAAGTATTAAGTCAGAATAAAATTGTTCTCATTTATCGTACTGACTGACTGACTAGTTCAATCATAATGATGAAGTATGTTATACATACACATCTTAATTAACATATTCATATATTATTGACTTAGCGTCGATAATATGCTACTACAATTTGTAAAAATTTGGTACTTAAAAAAACTCTATTGCTATAAGCTATCTTAGAGAGAAGACTGTGACAGAATTACTTGGAAAGATACGTACATGCAGATCTTTTAAATACTTTGTTCTAGCGTAGCGGACTAGTTGACCTTGTCCTTACTCTCTATGGGTTTTTGTAAAATATAGGGTTTCAAGCAGCGGACGAGTACGTACAATATTATTGCTACAATATGACCCGCAAAGTATACACTTTTGTAATAATGTATTGACTCTTCCATTCCTAGCAACAAAAACGGTACTCCTAAATATGCCATGCAGGTTGTTTTTTCATACCACAAGATTAGTTGCCACACCCTCCTCGCCTAAAACAATGACATCAATCAAAATCGTAGTTTAGAATGTCAACATGCTTAGGTAATTTTTGGTAGTACCCACCAAACTGTTCTCTTTACTCTGATTGTAGAATTTCATCCCTATGTCCTCGCTCATCAAGAACAAAGGAATTTGACAAATGCAGAAGTAGTAACCGGCTTGCCAGCCATGCCAGGCAGCCGAGAGCGTAAATGTGGCCAGTGTTCGTAAACTTTTGTACGGAAACCTTTTATATACATAAACGCCCATCCAATATTGGATACATGCGTTCCACGACTTCATAGCGGTTCTCGTCGAGTGACAACTTTCCAACTTCTTCACATTCATGTTATATACAGTATCAAAATTGTACTCTTCAACTTTCAATTTTTCAGAATCATACGACCTAGAATTTCATCAATTTTAGTCTTCCTTCTGGTTATTTAGATGGTATAAGAAGAGGTTGAGATATCTACATAGCCTGAATAGCCTTGTAATCTCGAGGTCCGAGGCCTATGACAGGGTTGGTCCTCACAGGATATGCTCCAAGCCCAGCCATTTGGCAAGCACATTCGGCCAAGGCCATGCCAATATACATTCTTAATTTGAAACTGAAAAACGTAGGATACATGTAGAAGTATCTATAAAGAAAAGCTCTTTCCGCGAATTCGTCTGTAGTGACATACTGAAATTTAAAAAGAACTTTGAAGTGCACAATTTGCCTTGGTTAAAGTACTAAGATAATACTGATATTACTCTGGTGGGGTAATATGCATTCATCAGAAGATAAAACACAATAAAGATTGCTGTTTGCTTGAGCTTGGAGTATGTGAGAGGCTCAGGGTCCACATATTTAGAGAATGGCCTGTGCAAATGATCCCAGTATGTTCTATAACGGTAGTAAGGACCTGGAAGAACAATATCATGATCAATAATAACAGAAAAGTTTGATTTGAGATAAATCAGACTTACCAGTCAAGACCCCCATGTAGCTGAAACCATAATGAAACACATCCATAAATCCTACATTTTTCAATGCCTCAGAATTTACTCCTTCCGGGTCATCAGATGCCTGAGTTGAAGCTGCATTTAGCTCAAAGGCTAGTCCAGATAATTTTAGTGTTAATATCATGAGCACAAGATTCGTGTGGGATGGAGATTCTGGTAGACCAATATATTCCCCTAAACGGAATATGAACAGTAGGTAGAAGAATGAAAAAAAGAAGCTTGCCAGGTGACATATTCTGTAAAAAATTAATTTCAAAGTAATATTTTAATTCTATAGGAAAGTTGTAAAGACTATATGTATTAGGATGTTTCAAAAACACTTTCTTTGTCCGAATATTTATAATTATTCATGTCAGATTCACATGCACAATCACCGAATGGTATTGTTTGTATATATTTATACATTATGCATCTTTAACTCATTATCACTCACACAGGCACAAATGATAAGAGTAAAGTAATCAATCTCTACATTGGGAAACCTTTTGAACTTTGATATTAGAGCGAACAAGTGCTAATGCGCTGATATTGATGATTGATATTGAATTACACTGATCGTGTACACCATGCATTAAGATCGAATTTCTCTTGATAAAGGTGTGAGAACTTTGTCTGTCTAGCGGTCTCTGTTCTTTCGTCATATTAATTCGGCTTAATTCGAGCATTAATAAATCGAGTACAGAACTGACTGCAGTCGAGTAGGTAGAGAGCACTTTGTTAATGTCACTGGTCACTGCAGATATACCGCATAAAAATCAGGACATATTTATACGGTACTGCGGCACTTCGCTGATAAAATGAGAAACGATTGTACGAAGGCAACCGAAATGATGCTGTTTTGAAGTAATAGATTCGCATAGTATTAGCAAAATATCGTACTTTGGAGAGAGCTTGGTTATAATAATCGCGTTAATCACGGTACTGATTACAGGATGAATTACATGACTTCCAGAAACTATCGTGGCCAGAAAGAATCCGAGGATCGTGCATGACCATTGCTTCTCGTATACATTTTCAATTTGTTGATAAATCTTCCCGACAAATACACAGAACAAAAGTATCACCACGTAGAACACATCAGACAACAACATCGTATCGGCTTGACTGCAGTAGCTCGACTGCGTCTCGTCTGGTAGTCTCCCACCGTATTACATTTCGAACTGTATATGGCAGTGCACTCTGAACTGAGGAAGAAACCTTTGCACCTTACATAAATACTTTAATTTTCCATATTCACAAAAAATAAGTAGTTGTTCAAATTAGAAATAGGAAGACAACAAGAATTTAAGGAAGAAATTTCTGTTTCCAGTTTAATAATTACGGCTATGTATGTATATTCAGTTATAAATTGCAATTAATTCGTTATTTCTTCTTCATAGTAAATACTCGACCTAATTAAGAATTATGTGGTTTCATTTTCACGTTATTCTTACGTGGATATAAATTCTTTAATCAAATCTTCTTTCGAGATCGTTCTGTATCACATATTTGGTAAAAATGGTGGATCCGGTGGAAGAGTGGAAGAGGAGAATTGCAAGTTTGAATTCAGTTACTATAATAATTGTATTTATACAAACAAGGACATCTTCATCAAACGCATGCTGAAAATGCGCGGATTTAGTTAAATTGTATCAATATGAAAGTAGAGATTGAACTGCTTGTAATGTTAATGTAATAGTAGCAGTGATGCAAAGTATTTGTATAATTGACACAGTTTCGAAAGTTCTAGGACTTTTTGCCGAGGGCTTTCTGTGTCAGTTCCGTTTTCTTTTGCTGGGCAAGTTCCTTCTGCTTCTTTTCGAGTTCTCGTTTCCTAGCCGCTTCCTCTCGTTGCTGTTTAACTATGGCTAATCGTGCTAAGTCCGCGCGAGCTTCGTCGGTTTTACCGGCCGCATGCAATTTCTGATAATTTGCATAAGCCTTTTGTTTTTCTAACTGCTCCCTTAACAGAAAATAGTTTATTCATTAGTATTTGAAGCCCATTTATTTGGTCTATCGAATAGTTAAGCAAATTGTTACCTTTCTTTTCTAGATAACTCTGGTTTTGCAGAGTCTAAGGATTGATTTAATGTGGATAATTTTTTTGTTTTCTTTTGTACCCTATTTGGATTTTCAACTTGAATTAAATTTTCTACACCCTTTGCTTTTCCCTGTAAATGATTGCAATTTAGATATCACAGTCTTGTAATTACCAAGCATCCATATTGAAATGTATTACCTCTCCTTTAGAATCTGAGTCCGAATCGCTTTCACTGTCCGAGCCACTGGCTGGCGAAGCTTTTGGTTCCTCTTCCTCTTCTTCGCTCTCTTCTCCTTTGTTCTTCTGCAAGAGAGAATTCCAATATATTTTGTACATACTAAGCTTACAATAACAAGTGCTTGTTCGCTAACTCCCTAAATAATATGTATGCAACATTTTTACACAATGTAAGTTCAACCCGTTGCTTAACGTCTCTTAAGAATTTTTGAAAATTTTGTGCTCAGTCTTGCAAATAGAGCCTGTACTGTTTGCAGAGTATCGTGCTCCGAACAAAATGTCAGCAAGTAGTGCATGGAATCAGACTCGACCATCAAAGGACAATTCGACCTTACGTACTCAACAATAATATCTAAGCCGTTGTGCTGTCGGTTAACCTAAAAATACTGACTCTCCATTGGAGCTTTTTTTCCTCCTGGCGTCGCTGCTCCTCCAACTCTTCGGGGCTGGTAAAGTGACGATTCCGGCCCTTGTGACTGACATATTTACCTGTAAATAGATCTCATTTGATCGAAGGTCTGTTGCTCGAGGTCAAATTGAACGAAATTGCGCTTTTGATCGAAGCAAATGTGGTGGGGACAAGAAGACATTTTTCTTGAGCGAAAAGCGTAATAATTTATGCGCTTACCGCGCGGCATTTTTTTGTAGAGGAGGCTCGAAGCAGCCTGAGTAAAATTCTACGGAAATTTCTTGGGAGAAAACTCTCTTTCTCAATGCGAAACGACAATTTCGTTTGATGTCAGATCAACACTGCGCTGCTGCTGATTTCAACGTCAACCACGAGCTCTAGCGGCATAAAAGCATTGCACGGAACATTCGTGAGTATGGTTAGCAGCTTGCATCATCCTGCTGTAATGTTCCAAGGACAGCGAAGATAAATACGCGTGATTTATTTATTTTCTAATCGACAACTATGCCGATACATCAAAAGTTATCTTTTTGTTTTGAATTAAGCTGCCTACGAGAAACTGCGTCAAACTGATGCTTAGGCTTCACTCATTTCTCATCAAATTGTGTATTAATATATTTTAAAAAATGAATTGCTCTACATTATAATTTTACATCCAAAATGCCTGCATAAGTAACCTACATCGTTATTATAAATATGTACATACTTACTCTACATATGTTCACGTAGAGCGTTCGTATGTTGTACGATGTTTTCTCATCTATTCACATAGAGCGTTCGTATGTTTTGTGTGGTGTTTTCTCATCTATCGACGTAGAGCGTTCGTATGTTTTGTGCGGTGTTTTCTCATCTCGTACTGTGCAGTTCATGCTTCAACAACTACGAGATTTTTCTTGACATTAGCTACCGAATCGAATCATTTATTTAAACAAAATTTCTTTGAAAATGAATGGTAAAAGAATATTATATTTTTTAAGCATCGCTGACTTCTTTTCAATTTCTTCTTTTCATTTTACAAAATTTACATTCCACAGTACGTTTTTTGAATGATCAACCACATTGCACACTTTCTTTTTGCAGAATTCAGACTAATTTTTGTGTTCTCCTGTTTCCAAGAGTTCGTCGTAAATCGCAGACGAGCCTCTAATCATTTCTGACATCTGGAAAATTGAATGTCATATGCAAGTCACGAGTCCATGAAATTTCAAACGGAAACGCGGTATTCAAACGCCGTCATGCAGCTGTTTATATTATCAGGTAATTCGATTTTTTATTCGTGATTTAACGACTTACTGTATTATGCCATAACTTCATTGCGCAATGCAATGAGTTTTCATTTTCAAATAACCTTGATTCTATAACTTCATCAGACATGCTAATAATATTTCGAATTATACAATTTTTATGTATGCATTTGCCCGCGATTAGATGAGACAAGTTCAACAACAAGTTCGTTTTTATTACAACAACGAATAGTCGATACAAATACTTATTAGCCTATAACATAGGCTAATTTTACATCGAATGTCGCAGAATCGATTGTATACTGTAAAATCATATTTTTGCGAAATTGTCTAAAAAAAAAAAACACGAATGACGATTTCGTGTTTGGGAAATATAAGAACTGAAGGACTGGTTCGCGATCGAGCGAACGATCCAGTCCCACGACCTCGGATCCAGCAAATAAGGGCAGAACCCCAGAGGAGCACAATAAATTATTTGATGAATCGAGTTGGGCGTTCACTCTCATCCTTTTTCTCGTGTATTGTGTTACGCTCGATCGCATGTGCGAAAGACGGATTGCTTGTTCCAGACCGGTCGCCGTTGAGCTACGTTCTTAGGCTCCAATTTATATTATTTAAGAACAATTGACTTGGTTGGTCTGTCGCTTCTTCGAAGGGGGGGCCAATCTCGGAATGCCGACAGCCCATAAAATCATTATATAGGGTGATTTGTCCGGTTTTGCACCTTGCCTTTCATTGTTGTACTTATTGCGTACTTACAGTCATGTCATACCATAATATGCACAGCTTAAATATAAATTAAACGACATAACAAAATATACTAGGATCTATTTATAATATAGTAGACAGTACATATATAGTATATAGTATAGTGTAGTAGGATCTATTTATATAGTAGGATCTAGACAGGCATAGATTGTTGTGGCCGATTCTGTCGCGAATAACAACGGAATTTTACAGTAACTTTCGCAATATATTACATGTGAAAGATATCCAAAAATTGCTATGGAGAATTACAAGTTATTTTATCTCTATTATATCCTTTCTGTAGTTGGTTATATACATATTGTTTTATTGCAACAATATTAATCTTTCATCGATGATATAACTGTGTGGCATAAAATTCTCAGACGCCCTATAGATATTCTAAACGAATTTTCGGCGTGTACCTTGATTTTGATTGGAAGTTCGTTCGCTGATGGCGCCACACCGCACTCCGGAGCGAGCTCCGCAAGAGGGACAATAAAACAGAATAAATAACGATTCTTCGCAAATATTCCTCTTGTCGACGATCGATATATAAACAACAACGAAAAATACAAATAACGCAGGGTATAAATCAGGCTTCGCCTTAGCATCGAATCCCATGGAATAGTTTCTAGACGAACCGACTTCTCCCAGGATCAAATGATTCGAATGTACCGCCACGCAGCATCGAGCACTGTCGCCGCCTGCCGGTGATTCTCTTAAGTGGCATAGTTCGTGATTCCGTGAGCCACCGTCGGCCAGTCTGTTTCGGGAGTTCGGGGTAGTCGGATGTGACAGGGTTGTGTTCGTAAGTGTCAACCGGCGGACGATTGTTTTGTTGTGCTCTAATGTCATTCATTTAAACGCTATCGAACACGGCATCAGACACGATATATCCGCGAGTGTTCCCGCGCCAGCATCGACGATCGTTCGGGGCGGGAAACGGTATATTCGACCGGTTCCTCCGAGTCGAGCGGCAAGTGTGTCAAACTCGATGTAACGTGTTTTCTGTGCGTCCATAGGCAGCGTAGCCGTGCAGTGGTCCGCTCAGTTTCGGATACGTTTCTCGTCGAATAAAAATGGTGAGTTTGAATTACGTCTCTATGCAATAACCTCGCGTTAGAGCTGCTCGGCTCGGGTGCGAGAAACTGTTGTCTGTCACGCGTAAAGCCGCGAGCAAAATAGGGTGTACATAGTATACAATATTGGGAGCAGAGTTGGGCTCAATCGTTATCTATACAGATATAGAATCGAGTGTCGAAGGCCCAATATCGGTCTCGAAATGATATCGGTTAGACGACTTTTCAGTCAGGTTAACTGGATGATTTTCTTATTAGTATCGCCCACGTAGGTTATAGATAAGGGAAAATTCGATTGCTATGGTTATCGTAACATATTTCTTGTCTATGTACACCGTGACACAATTAGCGTATGAGATTGCAAATGAATTTGAAAGAATGCGGTTAATCGTCGAAAAAGAACAAGAATTTTGCGGGAAGAAGGAGCCATCTTAATGTATGCGTTGGATTCTGCATTGATAGCATAGTAGATAACAGTAGAAACCGTCACGCAAACAAATCTCTTAGAAGAGTTCAGGGAATAATACAGAGTTCACAAATCGTTCGAAAAGCAGTCAATTGTTGCAGGAAACTGTAGTAACCAGTCGCGACAAACAAGTGCGATTAGGTTTTACAGATCAACGTACTCACTCGTGTAAATAACGACAAATTACGACCTTCTCGTTGATTTTATCGTTACAATTTTTACAGCTGTGAGTTACAATTTATTTTTCATAACATAAATTGGTATGGTTCTATATCGGTACCATCTTATATCGTTTGTGCCGATACACATTGTGGCAGAATTAACGCAGTACCGTACCGAGAACCTGAAATGCCAATCTGAGAGGAAGTTATTAGGTTACATTTCTGAAGACGTTCGATTCCGTATGAAATTAGTCCATCGTTAATCCGCCGTCGGTTAATCGGCATAGTCGATCTCGTTAAGTGAAAATCGGAGAAGCTGAATAGGAACGACGAGCTAACTCGGCCGGTTAACGAGTTAATCTTTCGATTGTCAAGTCTAGACTCATTGTGTCCTTTGACTATTGTCCGCGGAAAATTGTGTTCGATTTTATTCGAGAATAGCCGAGTCTTGACACACTTGGCACGGATTTGTGCTCTGTACTCTCCGTTCGACTGTTGCCCGATGGAAAATCTAAACTATGGTCTCGAATCAATTGCGGCGGAGACATGATAATAAAAATAGCGCGCGCGCGCGCGTGCGAGCACCGACAGGCGCGATCGTTCGGTATTTTCGTCGAAGAATTAGCACGCGTAATGTAATTGTTTAAACTCGCCGGCCAGCACAGCTGGGGTATCGCGTGTGAATGAATCGGTGACTGCACGCCGATGTGACAGCTCGGTAGTGTAACCAAGGTTATTACGTTCCCCTCGCCGCGACGTGCCTTATGAATGGATACCTGTTCCCTGTGCCCTTTAATCGACGTAGATGTAGAAATACCGTCGGATGCTGCGCCCCGATGGAAAATTATACGTGTGCCTCTGCCGTGCTCGCGGAACGTTGCCATTTGCGCTCGCGGATTCGCAATCGCCGCGCGAATTCCAAATATGTATTCGATCAGTCGGGTCATTTGACACCAAATTTTTCATTTCGCCAAAATCGATTTTATCGTGCGCAACTTTTTCCATTTTTCAATCGGTCGGTTTTCAACCATTGTTGATAACCAGCTTGTTTCTTTCAAATCGACTAAGATTTTATTCTTCTGTTATCGGTGTTTCTTTTTTTAGCACAGAGAATTATCGAGTTGAAAATGTATATTAACACTATGCCGGTGCACACATCTTAATTTTAGGAATTCATATTACCGCCATCTTCGAGATTTTTTTTTAAATCTAAAATTTCCAAGCTATTATGACGGTGTCAAACAAAAGAATCATATCTAAGATCTGCGNCCCAATATCGGTCTCGAAATGATATCGGTTAGACGACTTTTCAGTCAGGTTAACTGGATGATTTTCTTATTAGTATCGCCCACGTAGGTTATAGATAAGGGAAAATTCGATTGCTATGGTTATCGTAACATATTTCTTGTCTATGTACACCGTGACACAATTAGCGTATGAGATTGCAAATGAATTTGAAAGAATGCGGTTAATCGTCGAAAAAGAACAAGAATTTTGCGGGAAGAAGGAGCCATCTTAATGTATGCGTTGGATTCTGCATTGATAGCATAGTAGATAACAGTAGAAACCGTCACGCAAACAAATCTCTTAGAAGAGTTCAGGGAATAATACAGAGTTCACAAATCGTTCGAAAAGCAGTCAATTGTTGCAGGAAACTGTAGTAACCAGTCGCGACAAACAAGTGCGATTAGGTTTTACAGATCAACGTACTCACTCGTGTAAATAACGACAAATTACGACCTTCTCGTTGATTTTATCGTTACAATTTTTACAGCTGTGAGTTACAATTTATTTTTCATAACATAAATTGGTATGGTTCTATATCGGTACCATCTTATATCGTTTGTGCCGATACACATTGTGGCAGAATTAACGCAGTACCGTACCGAGAACCTGAAATGCCAATCTGAGAGGAAGTTATTAGGTTACATTTCTGAAGACGTTCGATTCCGTATGAAATTAGTCCATCGTTAATCCGCCGTCGGTTAATCGGCATAGTCGATCTCGTTAAGTGAAAATCGGAGAAGCTGAATAGGAACGACGAGCTAACTCGGCCGGTTAACGAGTTAATCTTTCGATTGTCAAGTCTAGACTCATTGTGTCCTTTGACTATTGTCCGCGGAAAATTGTGTTCGATTTTATTCGAGAATAGCCGAGTCTTGACACACTTGGCACGGATTTGTGCTCTGTACTCTCCGTTCGACTGTTGCCCGATGGAAAATCTAAACTATGGTCTCGAATCAATTGCGGCGGAGACATGATAATAAAAATAGCGCGCGCGCGCGCGTGCGAGCACCGACAGGCGCGATCGTTCGGTATTTTCGTCGAAGAATTAGCACGCGTAATGTAATTGTTTAAACTCGCCGGCCAGCACAGCTGGGGTATCGCGTGTGAATGAATCGGTGACTGCACGCCGATGTGACAGCTCGGTAGTGTAACCAAGGTTATTACGTTCCCCTCGCCGCGACGTGCCTTATGAATGGATACCTGTTCCCTGTGCCCTTTAATCGACGTAGATGTAGAAATACCGTCGGATGCTGCGCCCCGATGGAAAATTATACGTGTGCCTCTGCCGTGCTCGCGGAACGTTGCCATTTGCGCTCGCGGATTCGCAATCGCCGCGCGAATTCCAAATATGTATTCGATCAGTCGGGTCATTTGACACCAAATTTTTCATTTCGCCAAAATCGATTTTATCGTGCGCAACTTTTTCCATTTTTCAATCGGTCGGTTTTCAACCATTGTTGATAACCAGCTTGTTTCTTTCAAATCGACTAAGATTTTATTCTTCTGTTATCGGTGTTTCTTTTTTTAGCACAGAGAATTATCGAGTTGAAAATGTATATTAACACTATGCCGGTGCACACATCTTAATTTTAGGAATTCATATTACCGCCATCTTCGAGATTTTTTTTTAAATCTAAAATTTCCAAGCTATTATGCCGGCGTCAAACGAAAGAATCATATCTAAGATCTGCGGACGGCATAGTGTTAAAATGGATTGAACGAGGTTGGAGAAATTGTGAAAGATTTTCGAGATGAATTCATGGGAGCTTCTTACATGTACATGCTTACCAGATGCACTCGAGCCGCGTTTAGCATTCGTCCGAAGTCATTGCCACGCTTTATAAATATTCAATCGTTCTATAAACGCGATGGGCTCGCGCGTCGTTTCACGTGCAGCGTTTCTCGCGTTCGCGTCGGGTTTGTTGCGTATTCGGTGTCGATACTCTTCCGAGGAGTTCGATGTATCGTGACTCGTAGCCGCACGTTCGATTCTCGTGGACGCGTAAAAATGGGTCGGGTTTGTGGAACTTTTCCGCGAGACGCGCGACACATGATATCTAAACCAATTTCCATGAAAATGCCGAGAAACTTGCTTCGCAAAAATTGCCATGCAAAACTTCACGTTGTAGATATAAAGTCTTAGCAACGATATATGTACGATTCTTTGTCGGTCTAACGTTTGCTTGTTCTGCTATCGTAAAAATGGGTATTTATCCGAACGTATAAATAAATGAAATAAATTAAATTAAATATTGTAAACGGAAACCGATGAATAGTTGACGAGTAGGCAGAGCGCTACTTAAAGTAATTCTCAATAATTCATCGATCGTTAGTTCGGATTTTACGTCGAATGCATTCATGACCTTCCCTTGGTTCTGTGCTCGCATCGTATCGGTCGCGTTGCATCTGCATACGCAGAGCCCCGCGCCGCATTAATTGCACGGACGTCGTATAGCCCGCCCTTAATTGTCCCCATAAATGTAACGAGCTGCTTGTCCTCGTGTAATATCGATGAACGGTTGACATAATGGGCCTTTCAACATTTTATCCGAGCGACGTTCCCCGTCTAGGATTTTATCGTTGCGCGAGCAGAGCAGTTTCGAGTTATTGTTTGCGAGGAATCTGGTAATGACGGAACATTAAGGCTTATCGATGAGTTATCATCGCTCGCTATATTGCTTCGAAGATTGATGGCAGCCCGGGAGAATCGGCGGGAACCCGAGAATTCTCGTGTTTAATGGCTGCGCGGGGAAATGGACGGCCTTGGCTGAGTAAAAACTCGAAGAATTGAATCCCATTCGACCTACAAAGCACACTGTACAATCGATTCTCCACGGAATTCCACCGAATCGAAATTCCACGGGCACAATAATGACCGAACTGCTGGTTTAGAGGCGGTCGAACTTTATTTCTTTCGCCTACAGTTTAACACAATGACAAACAAATATTTAAATATATTATTGCATTACTGTGGGCTCGTTAAAATTTTTACGAAGAGAGATAAATGTTTGTACAGTTCCTGCATCTTGCAATTAACGAAGACATTGTTTATTTTGCACGAAGTTTTGCGCAGTCTAATACAACAAAAA